TATACACCTTTAATCCCAACACTTGGGAGGCAGAGGTAAATTGACCTCTGTGACTTTAAGGTGTGGTAGTACACACCTTTAATCCCAATGCCTGGAAGGCAGAGGCAGACAGATCTCTGTGAGTTCAAGGTGTGATAGCACATGCCTTTAATCCCAGCACTTGGGAAGGCAGAGACAAGTGGATCTCTGTGAGTTGAAGGACAGCCTGGTCTACAGAGTTATTCCAGGACAAAGATATACAGAGAACCTGTCTCAGAAAATAAAAGTAAAAATAAAAGAAATAGAGGTTAAAATAAAGACACATAAAGATGGAAAATAAACACAGAATCTTGATACTGTGTGTTATTATGCTCTCTTTGAATTGTTTGAATGCTGAGGAAGGAGCTACAGCTGCTAAAATATATTTGTTTATAAATGCTGCTGAACTAATACAAGATAGATATTTTGAAAATACCTTGGCTTCAAAATTGAAGTCAAAAGGTATGCTACTTTGGAGAAGAGATTTTGCTTTTGTTTCCACAGGAAATGAGAGGCTGTGGATTCATTCTGAGCTAAGAAAAATCAGATTTGATCAAGGACAACCACCTGAGAAATCTCCAGTAGGAACAGATGGCCTGGATGTCTGAATTCTACATCCAGAACAGATTCAAGACTGCTGCCTGAAATGATCAAGACTCACAGGATACTCCAGTCAGGACTTGATTATAACTCTAAATTTTCTTTAGGTCCCCATAAGATCATCAGCGCCCCCAACCAGCAGGAAGTAGCTTGAAATACTACGCCCACATTCCCAACAAATGGACTATAGGTATTTTCCTTTGTTAAAAAAAAAAAGAGGGAAATTATTGGGGAGAATTGTCTGTATTCTGTCAATCATATTTTAATAAAACGCTGATTGGCCAGGCAGGCAGTATAGGTGGGAAAGCCAGACAGGAAGTAGAGGTGGAGCAAAGAGACTGGGAGTATTCTGGGAAGCAGGACGCTCCCTCCGCAGTTCTGCCCAGACCACCGAAGAGGAAAGATGTAAGCTGCCCCACTGGAAAAGGTACTGAGCCGTGTGGCTAACATAGATAATGATAAGGGATTAATATAAGTTACAAGGACTAATAAGAAGCCTGACCTAATGGGCCAATCAGCTTTATAACTTATAGAGATTTCTGTGTGATTGATTTTCTTTGGGGTATGCCGGCTGTGGGGTGTCGGGCGGGACAGATACCCCAACAAGCCGGCCCCCTCCATATTACACTGGGGTGTGAAGAGCACCAGAGAAGCAGGCAGACACAGAGCCTGACAAGAGTCGACAGCTGCAAACAGAACAGACACGACTATTGGTAAACTGAGTGCTGAGGTTGTCCTAGGAACAGAAGGAGGCTTAGGTGTGTCTGGGATCATCAAAGGTGGGGGAAACATTACTTCTCCAAGAGAACAAGTAGCAATTTTGCTCTCTAGCGAGCTTTTCAATACTCCTTGTTAAGTACCTATAAAATGTGCTTCCTTGTCAGGCAGTGGTGGTGCACGCCTTTAATCCTAGCACATAGGAGGCAGAAGCAAGCAGATCTCTGTGAGTTCGAGGCCAGCCTGGTCTACAAGAGCTAGTTCCAGGACAGGCTCCAAAGCTACAGAGAAACTCGGTAGAAAAACCTACAGAGAAAACAAAACAAAACAAACAACGAAATGTGCTTCCTTCCAGGTCGCTGGGTATGAGACCAACAACAAGAATAAACCACAGTGAAGCATTTTTCACTGAACATTCTAGGTAAAGTTCAGGACTGAAAACCAGATGAATGAAAGGAGGTCCCATCATCCCTATGTCACGCTCCATGATGTAACCGAAAAATCAGGGATTATTTTTTTCCTTTTCTCTTGTGTCCCATCAGAACACTGCGTCGGCCTCTGAGGCAGATGTGGTTAGCTGATTAAAGAGGTTATGAAATATGTGTTTGACTTTGTCTTTCTGTTTTGGTCAGACTGACCAGCAACAAGAAAAGATCTGTGTACTGGAAAGCGGTGTGGGGTCTATTGTTCTGGGGTACCTTCTAGAAGCTGAAATGCTAGAATCTACACACTTAGAAACAAGCAGAGCCTACAGGATGCCAAAAAACACTCCAGAGGGTTCAGACTGATTACATGACAAAGGCATATTTGGCCAACAAATCAAATTTTGTTCTACATGAATGCCAAACATCTGGATATTTGGAGGCGGCAGTTTGGCATCCTGTGGGCCACATAGAAGCATTTTATACCACTATGGCCAGAGATTGCCTGTGTCTGATCTCACCGCTTCAAAGACCCAGTCCCCAGAACATTGTTGATCAAATGTGGTTTGCTCGGAGGTCAAGTAGCAATGTTAATGGGAATTGAATTGCTCCTTGGGATTCCAGCCTAAAGAGTAGGCATGAGACAGATTTATGAGGGGGACCAAATCTCTGCAGTGGTGCACTGGAGGAAAGAAAGGAAGCGGCGTGGAAGCCAGGGTCAGAACGACGTCTCCTCATGGCCCATACAGGCTACTTTGGGGAAGAGGCTGCATCAATAGCCTTCATTGACTGGGCTTTTCATTAGTCACTGAGCACAGAGGCATAGGAAGAACACAGATGCAGCGGTTGAAAGATCTGGTTAGGCAATGCCCCTCAGCAGGTGAAGGGCTCGCCTAGCCTGCCCCAAACCACGAGTTCAGTCTCCAGCATTTCAAAAATGGGCATGGGGCCGCAGGCCTGTAATCCTAGCCCTCAGGAGGAGGAAGAAGGCAGGAGGATTTGAAAGTCAAGCTACACAGTGAGTTCGAAACCAGCCCAGGATACACGATAAGAAAAGCATTGTTGAATAATAACACTAGTAATAACATATTACTCTTATCAAACAGTATTATAATTATAAACTATATTGCTGTACATGACATCATGTAATAATATTAATGAGGACCTGGACTTTGCTCCCAGCTGTATCACCTGGGAGTTTCAGTGACCACTCAGACTCTCCGAGACTCAACTTTGTAATGGGCAAAATGGAGATTGACCGAGCTCTCCTATCAGACTGTGGGGAGTCTCAAATATGGTGGTTGAAAACTCCTTGTAAACATGGATGTAATACCGATTTACAGTGCCATCGACTGTACTTTATCTCCAGTTTGCTATCGGGTTAAACTATAAAGCGATTAACGTGTTACACTAAGTTCTTCAGAGGGGTCTTTGAAGAACTGGGGTTCCCAGAAAGATACTGGGAAGCAGAGCACTTACCGGAGAAAAGCCCAAGCTTTGAGGCAAAACAGATATGGGTTTGGATTCTTCCCGTACTGGGAGTTGAGCATCACGGGGTTCGTTACTTCTTTGCCGTGCAGCTGCCCCTGGGAGAGGTTGAGAAGGCTAAGGAGATCTCATTGGCCAAGCGCTGTAACGGGTTCAAAGCCAATGGTAAGATGTCTCCAGTATTCTACGCGTGAGCTGAGTACCAAAGAAAGGATTCAAGTGGAAGGTGGCAGAGAATGGTGAAGAAAGAAGCCATGGCTCTCCAAGGTGCTGACAGGGTGTGTGGGGGTTGGAAAAATGACTTCTATATTGCCTTCCCCTACAAAGTTTCTTTTTCTTTTCTTTCTTTCATTCATTCATTCTTCTCTTTGCCTTTGACACTATTTTACTATATAAACATGCCTGTCCTAGAAATCACAATGTGGACCAGGATGACATCAAACTCATGGAGATCTGCCTGTTTCTGTCTTCCAAGGGCTGAGATTACAGGCATTGTCATCAGATCCGGCTTGTCTTGCTTTTATCTTGTTTTGTTTCAGCTTGGTGTGTGTATGTGTGCAGATGGACATGTATGAACATGTGTGCAGAAGCCAGAAGACTGGTATCATTTCTTTCCCTCTCTCCTACCCACCCTTCTTTCTTTCTCCTCAGACAATGTCTCTGAATGGTCTAGAACTTGCAGAGAAGGCTATGCTAATAGCCTGTGGATGCCAGAGGTTCATTTTTCTCTGTTTCCCTAGCTCTGGGATTATAAAGGTTCACCCCACCAACCCACCCCTTCAAGCTTTTTACATTGGTCCTGGGGGATCAAACTCGGGCCCTCATGCTTACATGACCAACACTTTACCATTTGAGCTATGTTCCCAGCTCTCCTCCCAGAGTCCCAATGAACTGCTGACAGAACACATATAATCGCCAGGGGAAAAAATGAATTTAATTCTGAGAAAAGCCATTTCTTCATAGGCAGCATGAAGAGCTATGTATGTGAGAGTAACTTTAGAAACCAGGCTCCAGGGCTTTTTATTGGCGCAGAATCCAGATCATTGTTTAACAAAACCCAACACAAACAACTAGCAGCTTGTTCAGGATGCCCCGGGCTTTGAAGTGTCAGGGTTTCAACTTCTGCTCTTAGTGATTTGGCCGCAGTACCAATAAGGGACGCAGAATCTTATTGGCAAGTTGAAGAATGAAAATGTAACACTTAGCAGCAACTTTGCCACGAGCCCTAATCTGGGTTGTAATTGCTGGCAGAACAGATAAAGATAACTTTGGGGTGGAACTGTCAACGATTCTCACTTTGCAAACAAAACACTATTCTTCCGGGTAAACTTATCCTTTAGGAGAGAATAGGAACCTCTTGGCTTCGCACACTGTCAGGAAAGGGCACAGCTGGATGATGGAAACCGAGCCTGAACGTGGACCTACACATTCTCTTTAGTAAATGTAAATCTCTTTGTTAGCAGTTAAGTGAACTTCAAACTTCTGCAAACCCTGGAAACTCTCTCCCGCTTTGCTGTATGACAAAAGTTTTCCTGGGGAGACACAACATGCATATTTACTCACCCCAAATAGGGACCCCATGACAGACCAAAGTACAGGAAGCACCAAAGTCCAACTTGGTGAACCAATGATTTTTATTGGAGTTTGTTATAGGACTCAAAGGCAGTTGCACCAAAGCCCGCCCCAGCATGGGTGACAGCTCACAAGAGCTGGGAATTCGGAGCACACTGCACAGCCTGCAGGTTGGAGAGTGTCCTTTGGCCGCTTGGCTGGTTTCTGCTTCTTCCCGGCACCGGGTGTGGTGGGTGGCAGAGTCTGTGCAGTTTGGCTTGTCTGTGAGTGAATGTCCAGTAGCTTTCCGGCTTATTCTGGGAGGAAGAGGCTTAGTGAATCTGGTCAGTTTCAGAAACTTTCTGAAGTCATTTTGAGTTGTTTACCTCCCTGCTTAAGAGCTTCCCTGTGGGATGGAATGTTACACAATTCTCTCTCTCTCTCTCTCTCTCTCTCTCTCTCTCTCCCTTCTCTCTCTTTCTCCCCAGCCATCCCATTTGCTGTAGGCTGAGCCCAGGGCTTTGCACATGTAGGCCCTGGCTGTTTTTTACCTTTTGAGACCAAGTCATATAAATTGCCCAGGTTTGCCTTGAACTCACTCTCTAGCCCAGGCAGACTTTGAACTTCTGGTTCTCCTGCCTCGGTCTTCCATGAAGATACAATTCCCAGCATGTACCACCAAGACCTTGTCCCCATTTAGTCTTAGCGTGTGTCACTCTCAGTCCATTGCAAAGCCTTCTGCCTGCCTCATTGGACGTGGACCACCTGCTGCTACAGTCTACCTCTTCCCCTGGGACACCAGGAACTGTTGATTGCTGCCTCCTAGTTGAGCTTGGCCATACCGAGAGTTAAAAAGATGGGGAGAATGAGGGTAGGTTATTTCTTCCTACCTGTCCGTCTCACATCCTCTCCTCGAGTTTCAGATACTTCCTGTTATGAGCAATCCACCAAATACATAACCCTCTAGGGGGTACCTGTAGTGAGGAGCTGCGGGCCGGCCTGCTTTTCATCCCGCCCGGTTCCCACACGGCTAGCTTAGCCCTGGAAATAACAACACACAAATTGTATTCATTTAAACACTGCCTGGCCCATTATCTCTAGAGAGTTAGTTACTGGCTAACTCTCACATCTTGATTAACCCATTTCTAATAATCTGTATATCACCACGAAGTCGTGGCTTACCGGGAGAGATTTAGCATGTCTGACCTGGTGGCTGGCTCCATGGCATCTACCTCATTGCCCTCTTCCCAGCATTCTGTTCTGTTTACTCCGCCTACCTAATTTTCTGTCCTATCAGAGGGCTAAGGCAGTCTCTTTATTAACCAATGAAAATAACACATAGACAGAAAGCCCACCTACAGGTACCATATGTCTTTCTGGGGACTCTGTCTGATACACATGTTCTTTATAATGTATTATAACCAGACATGGTCACTCTGAGGCCTGGACAATGGCGCACACCTTTAATCCCAGCACTTGGGAGTCAGAAGCAGGTGGATCTCTATGAGTTTGATGCCTGATGCCAGCCTGAGCTACAAGTTCCAGGACAGCCGGGTCTACACAGAGAAACCCTGTCTCAAAACAAACAAAAAAAAAAACACAACGAAAAATCAAAAATGTTAAAGCCTCAATTGTTGAGAAGCCAGAGTCTTTTAAGGGGCCAGAGTTGCTGTTTGAAGGGAGCTCAAGTATTCGGTCAGTCTCAGAGGAAAGCCACTTTCCTGTCCTGGTGGCATAGCAGGGAATGCTCTTCTGCCAGGTTAAGCTCCGAGGTACAGGGGTTCTTGTATTAATGCAGCACAGCTGGGGCTATTCCAACCAATCCCCTTGCCTCCTCCAGTTCTTACTATCTACTCTGAAGTAGCTCATTTTATTAACCCCTCTTTCCAGCTGAGAGAGAGCAGGTATAGAGAGTACCAGTGCCTCCCGGTGAGCTCTGAAGAACCACAGCTGGATTTTGAACCCAGGTTATTCTGACTCGAAAGCCCAAACTCACAGGACCCAGTGCATTTCCTCTAACCAGGCTCCCCCTAGAAGTGGGATGATGCTAAGGGTTTTTCAGATGGAGACTGCTTTCCGGTCAATGCTGTACACACTTTCTTGTAAGCTGGAAACTCATGACAGCCCTTATTTCCATGCCTAAACCCACACCTGCCCAGAGGGGCACAGGCTTCCATTTCTCCCCCAACACCCAGAATGCTATCCTTGTAGGAACAGTATACTTTTCCTTTAAGGAAAGAAAAATCTGTAATAAAAATGATATTAATAGCTTTCTCCTTGTTATTTCTGCTGCAGACATTTCTTCAGGAAGACTGTGGGGTCATTAATAGTTATTTAGTTTAAAATATGACTCAATACCTTTAATGCCACCAAATTACACTCCTAAAATGATAAAAAAAAATAAACTTTATATCCTGTATACTTACCACAATAGAAAAAATTTTTTAAAAAACAGCAACAAAACCATTATTCTTTGGCCAGCTGGGTAGCTCCAGCTGAGACCTGAGACTAACAATCTGTTTTGATCCCTGAGACCCACAGGGTGGAAGGGGAGAATGGAACCCCTCATGTTGCCTTCTGACTGCCCTCCCACCCCTTTGGCACACACACTCCCCTCCATGCTAAATAAATAAAAGTAAACACTTTTACTTAAAAATTGAACAACCTGATTCTTCCCTTTGGATGGAGGAAGGTGCGGGCATGTAGGTTTGCTGCGCAGTATTTGCTTTGGAAAGCACACATCGTGTGTGTTTCCAGGGCTCGTTATCAGCTGGAGGAAACAGGCTTTGTCACTTGCAGGAAGAAATCACCGATTGTGGGTCAGATCAGTTCCTTGCATTCAACCGTAATGACTTTTTTTTTTTCTGGTACCAGAGGAAACTCAGCAACTTGGTGACTTCTGAAATTTTGTGTAGAGGAAGGAAAAGCCGACAAGGTTTTGGTTGCCCGAACCGGAAGCATGGCCCATTGAGCTTGCCTGGAACAATGAGGCGAGAGAAGTCCTTTCCCCTCCTAAGCTGGAGAAGCCATAGCTCAGCAGTTTGGAGTCCCTGGCTCTGCTGTGGGTGTACACAAAGGCTTCCATCCTGATGCAAACACCCTGTTTTCTTATAACCAGCGGCCCCTGGCTTCCTTCAAAGAGCTTTCAATAGCTCTGGGGTGGGGCTCTGGATGTGGAAACCATCTCATCCTCTTGGATGTGTCAGTGATCACTCCAAGGCTTGGAAAAGGATGGAGGAACTGACTTGGAAAAGCCAACAGCCTCTCAGAGGAGTGCCTGAGCCAATGCACAACTTCCCAGTCTTTGTTTTGTTAGATGAAGTAGGACTTTGGAACCAGACCCTCTGTGCGGGGTCCAGAGATAAAGCAGGCAGGGAAGGGGCTGAGTGGAGGGGACTTTCGTGATTATTATTTGCTGTCAACAGAGCCTGACTTCACTTGGCAGTCACAGTGTCAAAATGACAAGGCCAACACTGCCCTGTCCCCACTTTCCCCCTAAGGATGACACCCACTTACATAAAGAGGATGAGAGAGCTCCATCCAGTAGCATCGTTTTACCCTATGGACTTAGGAACTGTTCTTTCTCCACTAACCAACCCAATCTGTTTCCCATCCTCTCCTACCTGCTATTCCCTGAATCCTGGTCCCCATAGACTTGTCAAGCTAAGCACCCTCACCTTCTTTCTTACAAGGGATTTGACGAACTTCTGTCATTGGAGGAGTGGAGCGTTTCCCACTTCCTTCCTTGTTTCTACAAGTGATGAGGTAATGCGTGGATAGTTGAGGACGGAGGAGAGTGTGCCCTCTAACCTGTGTGGTTGGCATTGGGAGTAATATTGACGCATGGATGAGACAAAGAAGGTCAAAGAAGGAAGAAACTTGGAGAGAAGCTTGGCATGCTAATTTAGAAAACATGCGTGTGTATTACAATGGCATCCACCAGCCTGGAGTTAGGAAAGGGATTTCCTTTTTCTTTTCTTTTTGGTTTTTTTGAGACAGGGTTTCTCTGTGTAGCTTTGATGCCTGGTGCCTAATACTCTTGCAGACCAGGCTGGCCTCGAACTCACAGAGATCCGGCTGCCTCTGCCTCCCAAGTGCTGGGATTAAAGACATACGCCACCACTGCTAGGCAGGAAAAGGGATTTTTAAAAGGAACTAACCTTTCAATGCTGGGAGACAGAGCCAGGTAAATCTCTGGGGCTTGTTGACTAGCCAGTCTAGCCTATCAGAGAGCTCCAGTTTCACTGAGAGACCTTGGCTCTGGAGAAAGGTGATCAAGGATCACCAGAAGTGGGCATCTGTGAATGTGCACCTGATACACACATATTCTTGCACGTGAACACTCAGAACACTTCCACACATATCCATTGCACACTCCCAGACACACACCTGCATACACACACTCACCACACCATACACACACTCCCCTGGCTCTCCCAGTTCCCTGTTCTTCCTGATGGGGACAGCACACACGTGCTCTGTCGAGGAAATTCAAGGGGCCGGCGGAGTAAGGGCTAAAGTGGCCTCCAAGGCAGGCTCTTCACTACAGGAGTCAGATCCGCTCAGTGGTTCCTGGGTCCCGGCAGCACCTCTTGGTGGTTAGATGAGAAAGGAGTCTCTGCTGGTTGAGGCTCTTGTGGTAAACATGGAGGGAATTCCAATCGCGAAAACCACGGTGTGCCCGTTCTTCCGGGATGAGCGACTTCACTCTGCCTTTTATCTTTACTCTCTTTTTCTGTTTGGTGGATTCTTCTTTTTAGTCTTAGCAGTTCTTCTCTTGGGATCTTATCTGGCTCGCATGTAGAAAAAAAATCCAGACCGCAGTCTGTGAGGTCTCCTTGTTGATTTGGAGACAGAAATCAGAGCCCTCAGTCCTTAGGTCATCTGGACACAGACTAGAGGCTCCGAGAAATGGATTCCAAATGCTGCACAGCGTGCAAAACAGCGCCTGGTGATAAGCTGGGGGAAGGGTTCCTGTGACGTGCGGGCTGGTAAGTGAAGCATACCAGCTAGGCAAATGACCTGGGGTCTCTCTGCTTGTGTGTATGTGTGTGTGTGTGTGTGGTGCACACACTTTTGTGTTCACAGATGCACTCATGCTACCATACTGGTGTTCTGGTCGAACAACAACCGCAGCCTCACCTTCCCTCTTGTTAGTTGCCTGTCTCAGATGGCCCAGATCCAGGCTTCCAGAGATCCCTCGCCTCCACCTCGCACCTTGCCCTACGAGCACAGGCGTCACAGATGTGTACTGCAGCCACATGGTATGTGGGTGCCTGGGACTTGACCTCAGGCCCTCACGCTTTTATGACAAGTGCTTTGCACAGTGGACCATCTCCCCATCTCCCAATCTCGCTCTACTTTTCTTAATCAAAAGATATTCTTGTATATCTCATCTTCCTTTTTTTTTTTTTTTCCTCGAGACAGGGTTAACAGCCCTAACTGTCCTGGAACTAGCTCTTGCAGACCTGGCTGACCTTGAACTCACAGAGTTCCACCTGCTTCTGCTTCCTAAGTGCTGGGATTAAAGGCACGCATCACCGCCGCCCGGCTTCACTCTCTTTTTCATAAAGGAAAAAAACTGAACTGTTATCCTATGTACACATTGTTCTTTAGTCTTCCTTTGCACAAAGGCACAACTGGTACTTTGCTTTCATCTATATCCACACAGTAATCTTCCTTAAGAGACAACATTACCCCTGTGGAGAGACACACATTACCTCTCTGTGTAGAGATACACATTACCTCTCTGTGAAGAGACACACATTACCCCTCTGGGGAGAGGCTTGCAAAGACCAAAATGTGGTGAGAGAGAAGAAAATGCTCCTGGGGGCGTGAGATTGCATAGCTCTAATTCTGGGGACAGCACAGGAGACTCGGAAAGCTTCAAGGTGGAGGTGACATTAAGGCTGGGATGTCCAGGATGAGTAGGAGTGTGACAGGCAGCATGAGGCCAGAAAGGCTTTTCTGGTGACAGAAACAAGAAGAAAGGCCGAAGAGAAGCATCGTGGTTTTCCAACCTGTGGGTTGTAATCCCACCAAGGGTCAAACATCAGATATCCTGCATCTCAGATATTTACACTACAATTCATAACAGCAGCAAAATTAGTTATGAGGTACAAACAAAAACAATGTTATGGTTGGGGGGTCACCACAGCACGAGGAGCTGTATTAAAGGGTCACAGCATTAGAAAGGTTGAGAACCACTGGTGTAGCATGT